AGAGTGAGCCCTTTTTAGCAGCTAGAGCTGGTCTCCAACAGTAGAGATAAGGCTGCACCAGTGCATGCTCCAGTGCACCTGAAGACCGGGTCCTCTTTGGGTCCCTTTTCTGCAGGAGAATGCAGAGCTGTCTAGGCTTCAAGGCTTCATAATGTCACCTCTGTTATAGGTTCCATTCCGCTGAACACTGTTACACTTGACAAATAACTTGATCGTGTCTTTCCTGTTCTGTAGCATGTTCTGTAGGCGCGATGTGAAGTTTATTTTGTTTTGCAAGTGCTTGCTGCAGCCCATATAACATAGAATTGCTTACTGTCACATACTTTCCTTCACTTGCTTACTGTTCCTGTTTCTCAAACTGTAGGCAGAACTGCGTTTCTGATGCATCAACACACAGAGCAGAAGCTGTGCTCATGTTTCACTTGTAAGAGTCTTGTTCATGGCACAGTAAATAAACTATATGTAATGACAGTCATTTTTCATTTTAACTTGGCGTTCCTCTTCCAAAGGTGTGATTTACTTGCTTAAAATGACACACACCTAATAAGCATTGATAAGCATAGTAATTTCCAGATTCTGCTAATCTAAACAGAAGGCATAGTAACATGCATGGTTGCTTTTGTAAAAGTGACCCTCTCATTAATTAATGTTCAAGCTCTGTAGATTCTGACATGCCCCTTCTCTTCAGAGCACAGCAATAAGATCTGCAGCAAGTACCAAGCCTCAGTCAGCGCTAGCTAGCGAAAGAGACCAGAGCTGTAACTATCACAAAAATTAGGAAACCAAACAGGTCTTAGTGAAAAACGTTCCTGTGACATGAATACCTATTAATTTAGTTTAACAGCAAAACTGAGCTTGAAAGATCATGTTGGGATCATGTTAGCGCTGGGGTATTGTTCCTTTTTTTGTGCATTTTTCTTTTTGCTGAAGTTAGTAAAAAGTATTTCCTCAATATCACATCTGAAGGGAAGCTTGGCAGATGAACAATGCAATAAAACTGCTGCACAAGAGGTGGACGAACACAGCAGAGCTTCTGTCAGGCACCCATAGGCCTCTAAATAAGGAAGTCTCATGGTGTGTTACAGTTCCCCAGCTCAACATGCTATCTACACCCCATCCCGTTGGCATTTCTCCTTGTGCCAGGGCACCTTCTTCAGGTGTTCTTCAGGCTCCACAGATGAAACATTGTGTTTATTTACTTGTTCCTTTGCAGCCTACGCATGCTGATGCAGCTCCCTACTTGAACTATTGTTAATTAATTATATGCATTTATGTAGCACTTTTAATATCAAAGTATCCAAAAGCACTTATCATGTATGAGGAGCAGCTCCATTACACACCAAATTAGGAAATTGTTTTCACCAGTTGAATTAAGGGAGGAGAGATTTTCCAGGCTCAGAATTACTGAGCTGAACAATTTAACACTCCTCCTCCTACAAATAATTTCAAACTAGAGGTTCTTAGGACATGGGTTTCACATCTCATCCACAGGAGAATTCTTTCTACAACACAGTGTCCTCAGTCATTATACTGGAGCATAGGATTTTTAACTTAGGGTTTAGAGGAAAGAGCACCACTCACTGGTCCATCAACACCACTTACTCCAACAACTCGTCCTTGGCAGCCTTTTTGTTACCTTGCTCTCGGTTGACTGTCTAAAACCCAGGAAGGGGTGAACTGTAGGAATAGTCTGTCCTTAAAACCACAAACACAATCATATGAAACTCCACTTCAGGCCGATGAAGGTGGCCCCCTGCAAAAATGTCAGCTTTTGTTTTCATGAAAAAAATAAATATTTAGGAAATGTAATGCCCTATCGTGCTATGCTATTGAAGCTGGATACTTTAAAGCACTAATAATGTTCATTTTGCAGTAGAGCACATGTTCAGAAACTGTATTAATTTTTTATATTACGAATTATCAGTACAAACCTTGTTTCAGCTTGTAAGTTTGTTTTTCTGACAGTAACACGAAATCCACAGGATTGAAATGCAGGGGACATTTCCAGGAATCAGGCTATTTATGACCTAGATAAGAGTTTATTCAACAACAGCAGATTCCTAGCTAGTTTATCCAGGAAGAAACCAGTCACCCATTTCACATAACAACGTCTCAGAACACCTGAGCCCATTGTTCTCAAGGCTTTGAAAAGTGTATTAGCAAAAGATAATATCCAGACCAAGGCTGAGATGGAATGTATACTTTTGAAATAGAAGCATGTTAACAAAAGAAACCAATATGGGTTGTTTTAGGGACAATGCAATCTGTTTGTACAGGATTTACTGTACACTATTGGCTTTCTTTTGCTTTCTGTTGTGTTGGATTAGCCAATATCCATTATCAGAAAGCCACTTCCTGGTTATAGGTGCAGCGACACCAAGTCTGTCTCAGGATAGGGCACAGGGCACAAGGCAGGTCTGCAGCCTGGAAAGGAAGCCTGTGCTTTTCTAGTACAAGTTACCCTAGCCAGCATGTCTTTGAAAAGTACATAGAAGCTGGACCACCAGGACAAAACACACTCAAATATTGGGGTTTGTGCGAATTCTACACAGAAGGCGCCACAGCTCACAAATTAGACCCAGGAGTTGTGATGCAACTGTTGTGAACAACACTGGTCATAGTAAAAAAAAATACCATATGTATTTTGAAATGGAAAAAAATTAAGGAATCTAATGTAAAGGCATAATGTAAAAAACAGAGTTTACTTGATTATTGTAGTGTGAGCACAAGCAAGCTAAGTTTCCTTAAAATTAGCAAGTCAACCTGACTCCAGCCCACTACCAAATGGTCTCTGTAACAGATAAGTTACGGCTAGCATACAGATTCATCAAGTTGGTTTGAAACTAATCCAGTTTGAATATATCCTTAAATGCTCCAACTCCAGCCAAGATCTGTTCTCTTGTTTTTCCAGAGCACTGACTACCCTGAGGTGGAGCTAGTTTATGGGAGATTTTTCCCTCTTTAAAGTCAAGGCACTGACCTATCCAGTGTAAAGAGATGTCTACTGACTCACGCTATATCACTAGGGTCCTGACCAGAGTCACATGAGTCCTTATCTCACTGTTTTTTTTACGGAAGAGCTACGCCTTCTGTGCTGAGACTTGATGAGAGCCTCAGATTGTGGAAGATCACTCTTTAGAAGGGGGTTCATCTCTTTCGCACACCTGTGGGACTCATTAGCTAGATTAGTCAATGAACTGGCCAGTCTTTCCCTCTTGCCTTGGTCAGTGTTGTACAGTATAAGCTGCACAACACTGCCTCTGCTCTGCTGAGAGCTGCTTGTGCACGCCCTCTTGTGGCCAACCCTGTGTAAATGCACCTTGTTTTCATTCTGCTTTGAGCCAGGCTGATCTACTACATTAGAAAAAAAAACGTGTGATCAAAAGAGCTGTGTTCCCAAAAGCAATATAAAATGAATCCTTCTATAAGCTGCACCTCAGATAATATTATGTAACTTATTATTGTCATGTACTGTACTTTATGCCATGCTTAGAAAAACGGATTGCCAACATCAAACCCAAAACAATTGTACAACTAAGTGCTTTTCATTGAGTAGCTTTAAATTCACCAAAAGCTAGGCATGTTCTAGACGCAAAATCTGTCGAATGGGACAGTTAGTGTTATTATTACAATATTCCCCGCTGGAAGAGCTGGTTATGTTTAACAAACTTCATTACTACCTGATAGTACAGTGAATGGATGGCTTAAATAGAAAATAACGATTATAATTGCTTATACTTATATAGTGCTTTACTGGACACTCCACTCAAAGCGCTTTACAGGTAATGGGGACTCCCCTCCACCACCACCAGTGTGCAGCCCCGCCTGGATGATGTGATGGCAGCCATAGTGCGCCAGAACGCTCACCACACACCAGCTCTCAGTGGGGAGGAGAGCAGAGTGATGAAGCCAGTTCATTTTAGTTTCATTTAGTTTTTTGGGAATTGACTTTGAAGTTATTTGACATTTGATAAGTTGCATAGTTCTTTCAAATGTCTTGGTTAAATATGATGCTTTTGCAAATATTTTTGTGTAGATTCAAATTAATGTACAGTATATCTTTCAAAGGTTTAAAAGTGTAGTGGATTGAAATGAACCATGTCTGTGAGAATATAATATGTAAATATCCATAGATTAAGAATACGCTTGTCTACTGATGACTGTAGAATCATAATAAGTTTAAATGTGTTGTATCTGTGAATTGGCACTGTTGTTGTTTATATTAATATAATGATCTTTTTAGTGTAGTTTATGATTTTCGATTTAAATTATCTGTGGCTACTTTCTAATCGCACGTGGCAAATGATTGATCTAGTTACGCCCATGAGCAAGGATGAGAAGTTGGTTTATCTGGTTAAATAAAGGATTATTCAATGGATCTGATTAAATCAGGGTTTGTTCTGTGTCTACAATTTGTCAAATTTAATCATGCTCCAGGTTACTAATTTTGAATTTTAAATTGATCTCAATAAAACAAATATCCATTTATTGATTGATCCCACAAAATAAATAAATATTTATTATGTGCAGGGAATGAAATATTAAATATAGTAGATTTATTGTAAATTAGCTATGGAATTGTCATATTTATATTGCTCCACCAGAGCTTTCTGGGAAAACTGGCCCTGCTGTGAGTGTGTGCATGTCTGTGTGTGCATCCCGTGCTGCGTGTAGCCCGCCTTGTGCACATGGCTTGCTGGGAAAGGCTGCAGCTCCCTCACGAGCCTGAATTGGATGAAGGGGTTAGATGATGGATCAATGGATGGAAGTTGGGTTTTAATGTTATTTCATCAACCTTTGTCATGTGTCCTTAGATTTTTCTCCTGCTCTTTTAATTGGTTGTTTTGAAATTTGTGTTACCAAATATATCTTTGCATTTTAAATCATGTTGTACAGTAGTCTCTGTATAATAAGGGCTATACAGTACTCTATATTTTGCAAAATCAAACATGAATAATTTGCAACATCATTACATTTTTTTTTGTTTGTTTTCCTTGTAGGTTTCATGTGATCCATGTAAGTACACCTGTTTTCATTTAAAAACTTTTTTAGCAAAATTAATGTATTTCCATCCATGTTGTGGTTTTCAATAATAATGTTTTTAACCAGGGGTAATGCCTTTTGTTTTTTATATGGTTGCCACATAGGTAACACTTTCCTTTTCTTTATAAAGATGTACTGTAAAAATCTTTATCTCTACAAATTCAGCATCCATGTGGATCGGGTTTCACCTTAATTAAGTTATTTCTGTCTTTGAAGAATTTAAAGCAGTGTTTTTTTATGTGAAAAAATTACTGTATGTATGTGATACCTACATCATTTTTGGGACAATACCGAGTCGTTAAAACACGAGTCATCCCTGCATCTGTAAGTATGACCCACTTGTTACAACCAGCTCCGCCCCCCGGGAATGGGGCGGATGATGCAGGTGTTACAGACCCAAGAGCAGGGGCACCACAGTCCAGGGATAGTGGCCGTCTCTCTGCGCCTCGGGCAAAGCCAGCCTGAGGCGAGACTGTCTGCAGAAGTCCGTGGCCAGGGTCCGGACGCAAGGGAGGCAGATCCGGTCCAGATTCCTGCGGCTGGGCTCCTGGAGAAGGGACTGCGCAGGGTAGTGGACAGCCCATTGGACTTTGCCCAGGATGCAGGCAGGCGAACTGTCCCACACGAGCGCAGGAGTAGAAGGTGCAGGATGGGGAGGAGCCCCCAAAGTCCGTAGTTGTGGTCCGTCCAGGTGGCATCGCAGGGCAGAGGGGTCCGACCTCGGCCGGGCAGGGTACTCCAGGAGCCGGGCTGGTCTATGGCGCTTGCCCTCACGGGGGTCCAGTCTTCTCCAGAGACTGGGCCAGGCGTGCTCCGTCAGCGCAGTCTGGACCGGGCCTTCCTCTGGTCCCTGCTTGTTGTGATGAGGGTGATGCTGGCGAAGGGGCTTCCTAGGGGCCTGTTCCTGTCCCTCTATTCAGACATCAGAAGGACGTCATGGCAAAATGTTGGACAACATCTGGATGTATAGACTCAATATAGGCTCAGTATAGGCTCGGTATAGGCTCAATGGTTTGTGTAATTGAGTAAGTAGAAAATGTACGATAAAACCTGAATCAAAGCTGGCTAGAGATCATTTTCCTGCAAACATTTTGATAATGAAAGGCGGTGTTAGGAGTTTCATTCAGCTAAAATAACAGATGGCTTTCCTCAAAATGAAGCACATATTTATACAGAGAGTGCTTGCATTCCTTCCACTATAAATCAATTAAAATGTTAGGCAAGGTGTCATACTAGAGTGGAAAAATTTCTCAAAGAAAACTTGTTTCACATATTAAGAATGTGTCCATGACGTAGCAACAGGATATTGTCAAGTCATAACTACATCACATCAGGCATCCTTGAAAAATGTTCAATATCTAGTGTGATCTCCATTAGCAGGAATATAGGTGCTCAGGCTATTGGCATTGGCAGGCAGATGATGTACATGGTCCAAAGGAATGAATCTCCATTCATGCAAGACTACTGTGGGCCCGACAGTGATCATGCATGATTGGACATTCATTTCTTAGTAGGAGGTAGATGCTGGTGGTGCACAGATCTTCCTAAAGCTTTCCCCAGGTTAGTGGTAACTGTCATATGGTGTCTGTGGCAGATCAATGTGTGCTCATGTCCACATTGCAGATATTGTTCTTTTAAGATGTTAATAATTTACAGACATCTGCATCCCAAAACTATGGGAATGTCATTGTCTATTACCTGTCCCACATATGTTTGCAGCTGTTGTGGCAGCTGCATAAACTAGATCCCTTAGGTGATCCTGACAAAATGTTTTTATTGTTGAATGATCTGAGCAAAGCTGGTGATGGACACTGCCTGTCTGCTGGTCATGTACTAGTCATGAGATGGTGGTGACAGGTGGGCACTAAACGTTTTAGCATCTTCCTGGGCTGACATCCCCTCTATCAGCATTTCCACAACACAGCCTCTCTCAGGATCACTGACATGTGGCCTCATAACAATGCAATATCTGTAGTGGAACAAGCATGCCTTTTACTCACCCAGCACATGTTTCCTGTGTAGAATGCGATCATCTGCACTGAACTCCTACAGTATGTCTTAAACATGTCTCACAGGCCTCTGTTAAGCTCATAAAATGTTGTGTTTTAGGAGACAGTACATGCAAATGTTTTTCATCAATCCACGGAAAAAGTGCTGCTTTTCTGAAGTGTGTCATTGTACTGTATGTAGACATCTTCATGAAATAGCTATAGAGTTTGACATAGTTTCAGAACAAGCTCATTTCACAGTGGAATTAAGTTTGGAACCATTCTCCTAGAATTGGTCAAGAAAGCTAAACACTGGTTCACATTTAGCATATTTATGTTTTTTAAAAGAAAAGGAAATATACGTGTATTTTACTGATTTTTTTTTTAATTTTTAGGCCATCCTTGTGTAGGGGACACGGTTAACATAACAGAAATCGGAACGAGAACAGTTAAATTCCATTTTACTAATGGTAGCTGCCAAATTAATAATGGAGGTGAATCTTATAATGCTACATCAACTGAGATCAACGGTCTGTATCCAGGAACACCATATGCAATACAAACAAACTGCTCATGCTGCCTGAATTTTACAACAAGTAAGTAACGTTTACTTTTTGCACATAGATATTGTTTTTGCTGAATACAGACTTGCAGTAGAGCAGATTAAAATATAAATATATTTATATAAATATAAAATTAAATATAAAATGCACTCATTTCCCTGACCAAAAAGACATTTACAATCTATCATTTAAAACGCATCTTTCTGATAAATGGAACCTTTCCTTTCTTTTTGTATTTTAAATGGCTCACGAGACTATCTTCTTCCACTCCCTTGCACGCACAGGGCCTGATATGATCAAGAACCTGACAGTCACTGAAGTCACAACATCAACCGTTTCTCTCAGCTGGACTAAACCAGAAGGCAATAGCTCTTTCTATAGAGTACAGGTGGTGGAGACTGGGATTGAATCTATAACAAACACCACAAACATTACAGTGACTGGGCTGACTGCTGGGAGCAACTATACATTCAATGTTACGGCATTACCTGCAGATAAATTAATTGAAGGAAGTGGAGTTCTGATTTCTACTTTTACAAGTAAGTCCTCCAAATAAGAGACAATAAGACTTTCTGGAGTCTGTTTCTATTACAGTAATATCTTCAACTACAGTAAGTGAAAACACATTTTGTATTCAGTTGTATTTTTTCACTCAAAAGTCTTTCAGCCACTGAATTGTTCTCTTTTATTTTTCATTAAGGAACACAATTTTCTTTTTTATTTATTGTTTTGTTCAATGTATTTTTTATTTCTTTTGTGTAACATAGGCTGAAAAAAAGCTCATAAAGTGAAGTGTAGATGCACTTTTATTATTTTTACCGAAGCCATAGAGACAATTTGTTAGTGCCATATTGGTATTCATTCAAAAGCTAATTTTATTGGAATCTTTTAATATACTTTGGTGCTGAGACAATATACACATTCCAAATATCTGGAAAAACAACTTAACATGTACTTAGATTACTGCTGGAATCTGAGAACAATCAGATCAAATAATATATATGCACTTAATGTAAGAACATACGTTTCTTATGATTGCATTCAAATGCAATATATTGACATAAACTTTTATGCTTCCAATGTTGGGGAATCATTTATTGATGCAGTAGAAATTGTTAAATACTGTGGGTTTTTTAGTTTGTGACCAGCAGTCATATTGCCCTACAACTCACAACTGGCAACCCACTGAAGCTAAGTAGACGTGAGCCTGGTCAGTACCTGGATGAAAGACTTCTTGGGAAAAACTAAGGTTGCTGTTAGAAGAGGTGTTGGTGAGGCCAGGAGGGGGTGCTCACCCTGTGGTCTGTGTGGATCCTAATGCCTCAGTATGGTGTTGGGGACACTATACTGTAAAAAAGCGCCGTCCTTCGGATGAGATGTAAAACCAAGGTCTTGACTCTCCGTGGTCATTAAAACTCCCGCTGCATTTCTCAAAAAGAGTAGGGTTGTTACCTCAACATGCTGGCCAAATTTCCCATTGGCCTTTATTATCATGGCCTCCAAATAATCCCCATCTCTGAACTAGCTTCATCACTCTGTTCTGCTCCCCTCTGATTAACTTATGTGTGGTGAGCATACTGTGTGCACTATGGCTGCAGTCACATCAGCCAGATGGGGAGTCCACATGACTCTAAAGTGCATTCATTGGAGTGCAAGGAATTATTATAAGTTTCTCATTTTTCAGATACACAATTTCTAATAGATTGGATTTTTTCTCATTAACAATTTGATGTTAGTACTGTCTTTCAGAAAGGTTCATTTAGTTGACCAGTAGTCCATTGATTGCAGACTTGACTTTGTGAAAAGGATCACAACACCCAGCTAATGTTTGTGCTTGTTCTTCCCAAACCCCTTACCTGCACTCAC